ATTAAAAACAATTTTGAGTGTAAAAATATTTAAAGGGGATATCATATACACATATACATCATATACATTATACATTATATATCATTATCATATACACGAAAAAAACTAATTTTCCAAATTTAATTTTTACTCAATAATCCTTCCTAGTATTCTCTTATTTTGAACAAGATTTAAAATTCAAATTCATTTTAATTCGTGTTTCTATTGCAAAATACAAAAAAAATTGTATTTATTATCTTTTAAATTTTTAAAAAATATATGCATGCTTAAGTTAATACAATATGACGTAAACAGCAACTTTATATTGTTATCGAAAATAAAATACAGGTGCAATTTAGTATGTGTTCATTTAATGATTTTAGAATATTCGTCATTATTTTATAACTGTATATTTTTTTATTAAAAGTTCGCAAATATAACTTTAAATTTTTAAATCTTAGGAAATCGTCTTGCTCCAAGGGACAACTTATTCTATTATCTTCTACTAATGGATGAGAAGGTTTATTTAGAATAAAAAGAAAAACTATCTAAAATCTTGATTTCTAAAAGCTATTAGTTGTTAAAGTCCTAAATCACAAGAATTTACATGTGTTTGACCAATGGAGACGTACTTTTTAATCCCTATTGACCGACATCAATTGTCCGTTTGAGCATTATTGCAATGGTAACCTTTTAATTATATTGAACAGTTTTAAATGCACTTAGTATCCTTGGAACAATAGAACATAGTTAATACAGTAGTGCCAGTGTTTATTCTTCTCACTCATGCCTATTTTTATTTCATTTATCCTTCATAATATTTAATCATTTTTAATCACGACTAAAAATATGTTAAATATTTAAAATAATTTTTAATTCTGGTTATTTATTTTGAACATTTATAATCAATTTATTTGACAGTATCTCATTGTACTTAAGACAGAATCAAAAAACAGCATCACCCATACTACTAGTCTACCAGTTCTTTTTATTCCTATTTCTTTAAAGTTGAAGTAAGAACTTAATTCAAATAAAAGCACAATATTAGAACATTAATTGTGTCAATTACATTCAAATTCCATTATGCTCCGGTCTGATAAAACCTATGCTAGTGGTAAATCCAACTTTGTTGGATTTATGTGACTTTATTGGTTAAAGCCTTACGGCCAGAAACCGATGGGCATTACTATATTTATATAAATACTTTCAGCTTAAATCCTCAAGTCTAACAATAAGATAAATGCCTATTAAAAATTACTGACATATTTAATGTTAGCAATTATATTTAAATCAAAATATATGCATCTGACAGACATTGAGGGAATTAGTCTTGATAATATTGGTAAAATACTAAATAAATAATTCCTACTGAAAAAAAAATTTTAATGTGAAATAGTTAATAATTTTAGGTAATTGTAATGATTGGTTTAACAACAAAGATATAAATCACAAACAACATTTTTTTGGTTTTAAACATCAAGGCATAAATTCATGACATTTAATGATTTTACATCCTATGAATAGATGAAAAAATGCCTTTCCCTTGAATGAAATTCCCAGGTCAAAATAATTGCCTCCTATTATAAGACCAATGCATATTTTGCTACTTTTAACATCTGAAAATATACTCAAACAATTGCCACCCCTTAAACACACACTTCTTTATGATTTTTTCCATTTTATGTCCTAGCATTGATGACGCATTAGATAACAAAAAAAAAAAACTAATACATATATTCATTCAACTAATATTTTAATCGAAGTTTATTTTTACATTATTCTAAGTATTTTTTTAAAAATATTAAACAGAATATTTGCTGAAACGTAATTATTAAGTCAATAATTTCAAGTTAATAAATAAAATGTGATATATTTTTATCACGGATTCGTTTATGTAAGATTTATGACGTTTTAGCAACATTTATTATAATAAAAATGATTGGTATTTAAAACTGTTCATTAAATTCATTTTTTAAAATCAATTTTTACTTTTAAATATCTACTATTTAAGCATTTTCCGAAAATATTATTTCAATTAAAAATAATGATTATGAAATATTCATTAAGTTTTTTAATTATGTTTTATTTGTTTGTGTCAATAATTGCATCAACTGTTAATCCTGGTGAATCCAATGATGAAGGCAGCTCATCAACATATAGTGTAATTTCATTTTTATATTTATCATAAGTAAACGTTTTATAAAACAATTTTGTAAATAAATAATTGAAAAACGGTAGAACAGTGGGGTTGGTGCATAGTGTGGACGTGGTATAGTTGAGATATGTTTAGATGATATCTGACAGTGATTAAAATCATTATTATAAGAAGCGCTTCGATACAAATCTGTAAATAGTATTAATAAAAGCAACATCAACTCCTATTTCCTTAATTATATTCTGATTAGTAGTTCTTAAATTTAAAAGTATAATTTATGAATAAAATTTTTTATAGCAATTAAATATAGTATGCAATAAATATATAATGATTTTATATTCTAATTTTTACGGAGAAATTTTTGATATTTTAAAATATTGGTCATCAAAATCGGTCCAGCGATAGTTGAAAAAAATTGTTAACAGACACAAAAAAAAACAACTTAGGTAAATTAATATATTCTCAGCTTCTAAGCTAAAAACTACAAATTAGAGCCTAATAAAATTTTTAAAATTGATTGAAAATTCAAATTTTTAACTGATATTATTTATTTTCTCTCATTTTGATATTGAGCATAACTATTATAATAATTCAGCTAAGACGATAACAAGTAAAATTTACATAACATACATAAAACTTGATAATAATTTAAATCTTTTAATGCTTATAATAACCATTAGAGTCGTTTATAATGGCTAAAATCCTGCTAATTTAAATATTATAGAATTATTTAAATTTTTTATTCGAAGCAATAATTAAACATTTAGTTTCAAATATTAAGATTGCTTAATTTAATGTGGACAGAAGGTTTTTAATAATTACCAATATTTTTAGCTACGATGAAGCCATATGGCTACAAATTTAGTAATGTACTATTCACTCCTAATGGATCAATATTTGTTCAACAATATGTCAAAAGATCATACAACATATCTAGTTGAATCTATCAGTAGCATAATTTAGAGAAGTTCATCTCAATTCTTGTTATAAAGGAAATATTACGATATTTATAATATTTTTAAAACATTCAATGTTGATATTTTTAGTTTTCACTTTATATTGAAATATATTTTTGTAAATTGAACTGATTATTGCTAATGTTTCATTGGCAATACTTCAAACATTTTAATTAACGATAACATACTCTTTTTTTTTTAATTTTTATCATTAACCAAAGTACTGTGGTAGCTTAAAATCGTATAAATTTTAGCTTCGATGCGAAGCTGAGAAGGTATTGGTTTTACTAAGATGTGTTTATTTTTTTTTTTTTTTTTTTTTTTTTTT